TCTCACGGTTCGTGGGTTCGAGCCCCGCGTCAGGCTCTGTGCTGACTGCCAGCTCAGAGCCTGGAGCCTGTTTCAGTCTGTGACTCCCTCTCTCTGACCCTCCCCTGCTTGCGCTGTCTCTCTCTCTCTCTCTCCTATAAATAAATAAAAAATAAATAAAATAAATAAATAAATAAATAAAAAATTATATACTACAACCAAGAAGAATGTACCTCAGCTATGCAATCATGTTCCCTGGTTTTTACCCAAAGGAAGTCAAAACTTGAGTCCACAACAAAATGTTCACATGGATGTTTACAGCATCTTTATTCACAATTGCCAAACCTCAGAAACAACTAAGATGTCCTTCAGTAAGTGAATGGATAGATATACTATGAATCATCCAGACAATGGATTATTATTCAGTGCTAAAAAGAAATGAGCTATCAAGCCATGAAAAGACATGGAGAAAACTTAAATACATATTACAAAGTGAAAGAAACCAATCTGAAAAGGCTACATACTGTATGATTCCAATTATATGATGTTCTGGAAAAGGGAGAAATCTGAAGACAGTAAAAAGATCAGTGGCTGGGAAAAAGCAGATGGGGCATATCTTTAGAACAGTGAAAATACTCTGTATGAGGGGCGCCTGGGTGGCTTAGTCGGTTAAGTGTCCGACTTTCGCTTAGGTCATGATCTCGCAGTTCGCGGGTTCAAGCCCCACGTCGGGCTCTGTGCTGACTGCCAGCTCAGAGCCTGGAGCCTGTTTCAGAGTCTGTGACTCCCTCTCTCTCTGACCCTCCCCTGCTCACGCTGTCTCTCTCTCTCTTTTAGAAATAAATAAAACATTAAAAAAATTTTTTTAAATACTCTGTATGATACCATAATGATGGAAAGCTGTCATTATACATTTGCTCAAATCCAAACAATGCACAAAGTCAAGAATTAACTGTAATTTCAACTATGAATTTTGAGCGTTTATCATGTGTCAGTGTAGGTTCAACAATTTTAACAAATGTATCACTCTAGTGGGGTATGTACATAATGGGAAGAGAATATGAGGGGGGAAGGGGATACACGGGAAATACTATTATCTTCCCCTCAATTTGTTATGAACCTAAAGCTGCTCTAAAAAAATACAGTCTTAACAAAAAGAGGAAATGGAATAAAGTTATAAGTTTATACTGACTTTTACAACAGTCTCTGGAAAACAGGTTCCTCTCCCCCACTGTTTATTGGCTCCAGATGCCACATTTTTCATATTCATGATTCTACTGTGATTTCAGCAATATAAAGACCTTTTTGGCTTGGCTCTAAGAGCTTTTGGCATCCCAACTCAAAAATTCAAGATTAATATGAATGGTCTAGCATGCACTGGATATTCAGCTCTGAATCAAACACCTGGTACTACTTTGGCTGGAGAAGGTGTGTGGAATGGGAATCTGTATTAGGATCATAAACTCCTTATATCAAACCCTACCCAATGGTCTTTAGAATGATGTCCTTATATTATGGGACAGCTTCTAAAAGAAAAGATGGGCAAAGAGATGAAGTAACAGCTATTCAAATTCAAAAGGAAAGGCAAATTTTGCTCTTTAACTCCCCAATATTTTAAGTTAGAATTGAATATAGAAATGAATATTCATGTATGTACAAATGATACTACATCTCTATTACAATGATCTAATTACACTTAACAAATATTATTCTTACTAACAAAATCCCACCAGGAGGAAATTAAATGCAAAACAAAAATGTTTTAAGTTATGAAATCTTTTGGTGCCTAGTTTCTTCATCTTGATATGGAGAAAATAAAGAAATGGCTATAAGGATTAAATCAGAAAATATGTACAAAGCATCTGGACTTCCGTGAACGGTAGCACATACTGCTCTTAATTTTTTCCCACTTGAAATGTCTTCTGAGCCTACAATTTCTATACTTATTTTTCCATATTTGTGAAATATACAAACCATATGCTTATCACTAAAATCTCTACTCAACTACCCAGAGTTACACACTATCACCTCAGAAAAAATTTCAAAACTTTTCAAGCACTGACATGACACAATGTGTTAAATTGTTAAAAGAAAATAAGCACTCATTGAACATACACAGTTTCACAGTACAAGGACACTCACTGTTCTGAACCAAGAAACTGCAGATATAAAGACAAAGAGGACAAGACCTCTCAGTCTGGTGTAATGTTTACAACTAAATTGTACTGAGGAAGAAGCACTCTCTATGGAGAAGTCCAGCAAATTATTTGAAATCCAGTGGGTAAAATCTTAAAGGAACATAAAAAAGTTGATGGCTAAGTATACATTAAAAACAACTGCAAATAGATCTGGGCAACGGTGGTAGTATGAATAGAATATCACAGCTTGGAAAAGAGTGGCAGAAAATTATGAAGTTAATGCTTGCCAACAAAGGTTGTAAGCAGACTGACAAGGGCTTTGTAAAAAAGAAAAAGAAAAAGCTGAGAAATCTGAATTATATGTGGTAGACAAAGAGCCATCAAAGATTTATAAGAAGCAATATTTGGAAGGATTGACTGCAGAGAGAAGCAGGATGCATTATTTAAAATAAGAATAATAATGGGGCCTCTGAGTGGTTCAGTCGGTTAAGCCTCCAACTTTGGCTCTGGTCAAGATCTCACAGGATCTGCGTCCATGCATTCAAGCCCCACACCAGGACCTGTGCTGACAGCCAGGAGTCTGGAGCCTGCTTCAGTTTCTATATGTGCCTCTCCCTGCTACCCTGCGACTCTGTCTCCCTCTTGCTCTCAGTCAAAAATAAACATGAAAACAATAATAATAATATTAAAAAAGAGGCATAATCTAATTAAATCTATTAAATCTAGTTTCTGAACCTGGTACAAATATTTTGGTAGTTGTGTGAGAACTGAACTCCTCTGAGCCTCCAGTTTTCTTATCTGAAAACAGTACAGTGTTATATGTGTTATATGTGAAGATTGAGAAAATGTATGTAATGTGGTTTGTACATGCTTAGTAACTCATTAGGAGATACATGTATCATTTACTATGTACCACACACTATTCTAAGATTTTTGTATGTGTTGAGTCATTTGACTCTCACAATAATCCTACAAGGTATTTGGGTCATACAGCTACCAAGTGGTAGAGATGGGAATTCAAACTGAGGCAATCTGGCTCAAGTTCCATGCCCTTAACCAGTATGCCTCTCTAGAAAAGATCAAGTCAGGGCCCTTCAAACCTTTGTCAAATGTTCTAACTTTCCAATTAAATTTACAGATTCCTCAACGCCATCCTCCAGACTTAACTGGATCACAATATATGAGATTTGAAGGGTAGGAATCAGATTTTAACAAACCCTTCAAGGTAATGTGTACACAATAAAATTTGAAATCCACTAATGGTTTAGGTAGAGACAGCAAAAACTCAATTTAAAAAAAAAAGTCCAGGTAAGGACAAGGAACAGATTAAAATGTAGAGACTAATTTTTTTTTTCCAAACTACTATTTACCCATACCTTCTATAAAGAATGAGAAAAGCTGTCTGCAATTCTTAGGAAAATACAGCTCAAGTCTTTGCTCAAGTCTCACACAAATGTCTAAATTTCAACAATCATAACTACTCAACACTGAAATCTATTTTTCCTGGTTAATAGTGAAACGTTCACTAGTAGAATGGGAGCGTAGGAGTAGCAAGTAATGGATGAAGTAATGTCTACTTTTTAAAAGATATTTATACATTTTTGTGGTATGGTACCATAAAAGAAACATAAAATATCAGTTCCTACAAAGCAACACAAAATTAGCCTGACAGTCTTCAATAATATAAAATCTCTCTACATTTAAACTAATTCATACTTTAGACGTAGGGTATACATTCAAACCATTCCAGAAGGCACAGCTATGCTGTGCGGTTTAAAAGTTTGATATTTGAGGTAGTTCATCACTAATAATACAACAATAACAACAAAACAAAACAAAACAAAGAAAGCCCAATACTGGAAACATTTGTAGAGCGTTTCCATACTGACGCCACAATAACCCAGATGGCCAATGAATGAAGGAGGTGAAGAGGTAGAGCTAACTAGACCTTATTCCTATTGTTAGCAAACTAAGACCTTTGTAATTACCGCTGTTACCAGAGTCAGTTTAAATGAGCAAGAGTCTCGGATTTTTGCGGTAAACGAAAAATGCCACTGCCAAGAAAAAATATCCGGGTTTTAAATACAAAGGATACTCAGATTTCAGTTTAAATCCCCACCGGGCATTTCAAAGACTGTCACTTCCCTGCAGTCCACATTGAGAAAGACTACTCCGAATATCCCTCTGAGAAACGCAAGCCACGTAGAGCACCTCATTCTAAACCTGCCCCTAACCTTCCATCTTTAATAAAGGAAGATTCTTTTACCTGTGGTAACGCTTTCGCAATTAGATTTAACTACTGTTGTAGCTTCACCATTCGAGTCCAATTGGCGGAAATACTAAACTGTGTTTACCAGAAAGTCAGAGATTCAACAAGACTTAATCTCAGGGGCGGGGAGCATCGGAATCCTCAAAACTCAAAGCTGGCCTGTGAGCGCTGGCCCGCGAGACGCTTCCCAGCACCTCCACTTCCCAGAGTCTCCACGCCCGGCCCCACCACCCAACACTCCCAAAGGCCCTCCGATTTCCGCTACATTGTCCCGCCTCTCGACCCCTGCCCCATCCGACGGTCCGAATTCTTCCCCTGGAATACACCGTTTCCTCTCTTTCCTCATTCACTCACCAAGGTGCGCTGGGCAGAAGATCCAGAGCGGTCGTGTCAGCTTTCCCTTATTTCGCAGAGCCGCAAAGCCTACCTCGAGCAGCCCCATCCAACGGCCCACCAGATTCAAATTCGCCCACTTCCGCCTGCAATCCGGAAATAGAGTTAAGCTCCGCCCCCCGCGGGGCGGGGCCCGCGGCAACGCGGTACATTGTGGGGAGGGAAGAGGCGCCCCGGGCTTGTCTCTGGTGGCGTGGTGTCTCTGTTGTGCTACCTTCGCTTCAGGGTCTTTTGTCCGATTCCTTACGTGCGTTCACAGAAATGTCCAGACGAGGAGTTGGTGTTTCTGCCCGGTGTTTCTTGAGGGGATACTCTTGTTTCTCAAATGGACAGAGACGCGTCCTTCAAGGACTGGAGAGAATGAAAGCACTGACGTTTTTACCCCTCCCATCACCCTCCCGTAAACAACAGCTACAGCCAAGAGGAAAAAGCAAATCCTACACAATCCTGCTTTCTCTGGTCCTTCTCGATCCTGGCACAGTAGGACATTTAACCTCTTTTCCTCCCCTGTTTGAGGAAGACAAAAAGCCAAGTGCACCAGTCACACTTAATCGAGCCAAAAATTAAAAATTAGTTATCGGACTAGTTCCTGGTTCCAAATAAAATACTTGAGGATAGGTGTTAGAAGGCGACAAGTATTTTCTTCGCCTCTGGTGAGACTGTTTTACATGATTATTACGTTGTTGTCCTGTGAGATTCTTGGAACAATAGTGTCATTTTTCTTTACCAAGGACAGCTTCTGAAGGGTTATATGTGGGAGCTATAAGAAAGGAAAAGGAAGACTGAACATATATTAGCCCCAATCCTCAAAAGGAAACTAAATTCTGAATGTGACGTTGCCACCAGATCAACCTCATATCTAATAGTATTGATTTACGTAAACAGATCATTCCAAACCAAGCCAAGACAGAACACCCTCAGCCAAAACGTCCATTTGAAAGATTAGATTTCTACAAATTTATTTTACAGATAATCTGACAGAAGGGAGTGTAAACCCATTAACTGGCGTACTATTTTTAACAGTGGAGAATAGGAAATAACAAGTGTCTATAAGTAAGGGGTATATTTAAATAAAGCTATGATACTTTAGAATCTGATACACTGACAGATTGTGAAGGCACTAAAAAGAACGTAGATCAGTAAATACTCAAATGAAATAATGAAAAAAATCAGCTGTAGAAGGGCTATATACATAGTATTCTTCTTTTAAAATATGTGAATGTGCCTGGCATACAAAATTTCCGGATGGATAGTAAACTAAAAAGTTATCTCTGTGAGTCAGATGGTGAATGGGGATGTGAAGAGACTTTTTTTACCTTTTGCTTTATAACCAGTTGAATTTTTAAAATTATAACATGTTTTACTATTGGAATTTTAATTGTTTTTTTTAAATGAAGACTGTCAGAAATTGAATATATTCTAAATACAGAATCAGGTTAATAAATGTATAAAAGTAAAATGTTTGAATAGCCTGTGTCCATTAATCCATACACTCATTCAACAATTAATTATATGGTAATGGTTTGACCACACATTTTGTCATCTATAATTTGTTGTATTATTTAATGTCAGCATATTTCTAACGTGGCCCTATTAAATAAATATATTGCTCCTTCAAGTTCTTTGAAGGCAGAAACTATGTCATATATTTTCCTATTTCTTAGGAGAGTTAAGTACTCAATTGCCCTTGAAAAGCCCCCAAAATACAATAAAAAATATAATCTCTTAATACAACTGTGTAGGCAAGTTTTGCTTTGTTTTAATGTTTTATTTCAATGTTTGTCATCTGAGTTTTCCTTACTCAGTTCTTCTTTTTGGACTCTCAATAAATTCTTCAATTTCTTTGTCAAGATGTTGACAAAATTAGCAGCAGCAGCAGCTGCCCTGCCATCAGTCAGACCAATGATATTAATTTCTCATCTGCAATGGAGGGTCCCTTAGAGTCACTGACATTTTTCCCCCAGGCTTAATTGTATACATTGTCTAGGGCTGGTGTTTATTGAGTGGAATATCAGGTTTGCTTGCATTTGTTAAACTGTTACTCCTTCCCCTCCCGACTTTAGTATAAGTATAGGTGAATTTGGATAAAATAAGTATTCAAGTACTCCTACAGCATTTTATTATCACAGAAGATCTACATTAAATACTCAGTGACTAAATCAAGGAGCCCGAGTAACCTCAGACTTAAAAACATTTTAAAGAAAATATTCACTGCAGGATATACTTATACTAATTAATCTGGCCGTCAAATTGGGCATTCAGATAGCTAATAAATTTTTTAAATTAAGTAAGATACATTGATATAAGTATTCCACTTACTAAAAGCTGAAAAACTGGAGGGGAAAAAAAAGCACCAGAGTCTTATTTAGTTTCTGGTAGTCCCTCAGTAATCTGAACTAGCTGAGGGCCGAATCCTTAGAAAATTTGAATTACACCTAATACAACCTTCTCTCTTCCCTGCTTTCCTCCTATTTACTTCATATGCCACAGAAAATGAGGCAAAAACACTTTTGGGACCAATGGTCATCGGGTCACACACAAGAGCCAATACAAAGTGCTTTGACAGAAGAGCTCCTAGAGGTTACTGTGAAAGGTTCTTATCACAAGCAACATGACCGACAAGAACAATAAAATGCCTAGAAATAATTTTTTAAAGTATAGAATATGTAAAAAAATTGGAGACCATAAGTGATTTAAATATTTGCAAATGAAAGATGAATATTTAAGAATAGTTTAGAAAAAGGGGAGCCTGGGTGGCTCAATCGGTTGAGCATCCAGCCTTAGCTCAGGTCATGATCTTGTGTCTGGTTCAAGGGCTCGACATCAGGCTCTCTGCTGACAGCTCAGAGCCTGGAGCCTGTTTTGGATTCTTTGTCTCCCTCTCTCTCTCTTCCTCCCCTGCTTGTATTCTCTCTCTCTCTCTCTCTCTCTCTCTCTCTCTCCCTCTCAAAACTAAACAAACATTAAAAAAAAATTTTAGGGGCGTCTGGGTGGCTCAGTCGCTTAAGCATCCGACTTCGGCTCAGGTCATGATCTCACAGTTCATGGGTTTGAGCCCCACGTCAGGCTCTCTATGCTGACAGCTAGCTCAGAGCCTGAAGCCTGTCTTCGGATTCTGTATCTCTCTCTCTGACCCTCTGCTGCCCATGCTGTCTTTCTCTGACTCTCAAAAATAAGTTTAAAAGAACCCATAAAAAAATAAATAAAATTTTAGATAAAAAAGAATAGTTTAGAAAAAGAAGAGTAGCAGAGGCTGGGAGTAGGCAGTGTGTCTTACCAGGTAGTGAAACCTAACACAAAGCTACTTTGATCAAGGAGTAGTAGTGAAAAAAATAATCAGTATAAAAAAGATAAATACATAGAGAATCCAGAAAAATTCATCTATACATAGAATGTGAATATAGAGGTGCCTGGGTGACTCAGTCGGTTAAGTGTCCAACTTCAGCTCAGGTCATGATCTCACAGTTCGTGGGTTCGAACCCTGTGTCAGGCTCTGTGCTGACAGCTAGCTCAGAGCCCGGAGCCTGCTTCAGATTCTGTGTCTCCCTCTCTCTGTGGCCCTCCTCTGCTCACGCTGTCTCTCTCACCCTCAGAAACAAATAAAACACTAAAAAATTAATAAAAAAAAGAATGTGAATATAAAGGTAGCATTTCAGTTTAAAGGCAAGGAATATTTTTACTGATAAATTAACAAGAAATGGCAATAACAGGCTATCTATCTGGAAGATAAAAAGTTAGACCTCTACCTTGGTGATAAATTCTACAAAAATTATAGGTTGAAATACAAAATATATAACAAAAATGTATTGGGAGAAAAGTTGGAAGAATAACTGTGACTTTAGGTTTAAAAGATGTCCTAAAGAAGGAAGGAAACTTAGAAGCCATAAAATGAAAGATGATTATGCCATGCCAAAATGTGCCACTTTGACATAAAGATTATTTTGAACTGAAGGTAAATGAGAAGCAAACATGGGAAGAATTTTCTGCCTTCTGCCATCTAACAAACGCAGGGCATAAGTTTCCCTTTAAGATGTTCCCCTCTTCTTTCCTGTATCAAAAGAAGAACATCCCTTAGCACTGAAGATGGCATTGATGAGTCTGCATTTAAAAGCCTTACTAGGGGCGCCTGGGTGGCTCAGCTGGTTAAGTGGCCAACTTTGGCTCAGGTCATGATCTCATGGTTTGTGCATTCAAGCTCTGTATCAGGCTCTGAGTCTGCAGCCTGCTTTGGATTCTGTGTCTCCTGCTCTCTCTGCCCCTCCTCTGCTCACGTTCTGTCTCTCTCTCAAAAATAAGTATTTTTTAAAAATTAAAAATAAATAAATTAGCTAAAAGCCTTACTAAATAACTATTATCTACCATTAATTTCCCCCATACATTTACCTCCCCACAATTTGCCACTCCTAGAAGCCCACATTCCTCTTCCTTTGTCTAGTCATTTCAAAACTTACTGCCCTTTGTTAAAACAGTATATAAGCTCTCAAGCCTAGTCACTTTAGGTTTTGACCTTTTTTTCCCCGTGGAACCCCTGTGCATGTAAAATTAAAAACAAAAATTTAATACCTTTCCTCCTATTAGTCTGCCTTTGCCAGAACTTGCAGGACTCCAAGTTGTGAACATAAGAGGGTTGAGGAAAAATCTTTCCTCTCAAATGCACATGACTATGTTACAGTTCAAAGTATTTAGTTGGCAAGATTCACCATAAAACCTCAAGAGATAAATGAAAGACTGTGATAATATTTATAATGCATGTAAGGTTAACAACCCTAATGTAAATAATTTTTATAATTTGTTTTTTTCAAAGAGTTCTAACAATGGGCAAAAGAAGTAACCAAGTAATTCATTGGAGAGGAAATAAGAAAAGACAATAAACAAAAAAATACTCAACCTTACTACCAAACAACCAAAAACGAGTTTTCCTCTTTTGGACTGGCAAAAATTAAAACAAGTCATAACATCCAGTCCCTGGAGGATGTGGTGGTAAATATGCATTCCCATCTACTGGGTTAATGCACTACAACAACTCTTTTGAAAATTAACTCTTTGACCAAATTTTCTTAACTTTGGGATTCTCCTATAGAAATAAATATGCACTCCTAATTGGAAAGAACTGCCCATTAGGAGGGAGGTGATTATATAAGTTAGGTACATCTGTGTTACCAAGAGTCTTCAAAAAGCTTTATTGCTTTACCCCAAACCATTGCCTCAAAGACGTACACATGAAAATGAAGAATAGTATTAGTTAACTAAAAAACTAATAATATTCTGCTCTACAGTAATGCTGATAAACCAGGCCCTGCAAAAT